TATACAAGGGACTTCTTTTGTACCAACGCCTGAAGTGTCATAGCGACGCTATTCTCCTTGCCAGCTTCTCAAGCGTTCAGATGTGTTAATCTGTGCCTGTATAACTTTCACTTTTCAAGGCAATCTGGAAATGTCTCAGTTTTTACATATGCTTGGGTAAGTTAATTATAGTTTACGAGTACCTAGAATGATGTCTGTAAAGTAGTCACTGCTGTAGAGAAATCCATATCGGCTGTGTGATCTCACTTAGTTCTACCATTCTTGATCGCTAGAGTAGCGGATTCGAACGTAGATCTTCCACTGTACAGACTAAATAGCTTATGCCCTCAATTAACCACCCATACTGATAAACATTTAATGCCCTTACAATTGTGTACGTTTTAAACTACTTACAGAATCTGTACATGCGAAATGGGGACAGAATTGGGTCAGGGCTGTGTTAATCAAAGTATGTGTGTGTTTGACCCAGATCAATGAGTGCTGGGGCGGTCTGGAGAGGCAATCTGAGGAATGAAACAGGAGAGCAGGGAGGAGTCAGCAGATGGGGGTTGATGACTGATGCTTGCTCTGTCTTTCCTGTCAAGATGTTACCCTCTTGGTGATGACTAATGTTGAGTTATTTTCTTGACAGGATGTATATTTTCTGAAGAGCTGGCAGAAGATTCACAGCCCCACCAACATCCACCAACTACCAAACCACCAGAAACAACTTGTTACCCACCAGCTAACACCTGTGAAGGTTCCTGACATCTCCAACCTGGGGGAGATGGTACCTCAAACAGCTACCAGTACTAGAGCTTAATGTGGCTCAAAGACATTGTGTGTCCTTACTGGTGATAGAGACTTGCTAAATACCGGTACAGTTGCTGTATAGTGAAGTACTCTTACTACTTGATCCAGTGGAGCAGAATTCCCAGAGTCAAAGACAGTCAAATCATCCGCAGCTGAGGGAGGCATCATAGACAGAGAGAAGAGAAGATAAATCTAATGCTTCGCATGATGTTGTGTTCCTCACAGCTCCTTGTGTCCAGTGATGAGAAGATGTCATCTCCAAGACCTTCTGTCTGTGTAGTCTCTTAGTGATTTGGACATGATATCCTGAGATCTGGCATTTGTCTCACTTTTATATATCTAATTTATATTGATTACATACATTCATTTTCATGGCTGACTTAGGTGTCTCTATTTCACCTTTTTAAGTGTTTAGCAGTTGTGTATGTATGTGTATCTTCATTATATGTGTTAACATGGTTATGATAATGAACTATCATAACCTGGGGGCTTTCTTTAGTAAGTAGTGGGGGTGTCCAGCCAAGTGTGCCTAGAAATATTATATATATATATACTGACATATTTTGTAGTGCCAATACTTGAGTTGCCCTACTCCAGAGATAAGTTGATCGTATATTGGCCACGGGGAATCCCTTAGACCAATACGAGCCAAACGACTCAACATAATTATCTCTGAGTGCTGCTGGTTCTAAAGGAGAAATCCTTACATTAGGCACGCGACAGGAGTGATATGTGACACTTACTCTCCAAGGAAGCAGAACTGGTCTTCCAGTGGATACCAGCCCACTGTGGTATTCAAGGAAATGAGAGAGCAGATGAGTTGGCAAAAGCTGGGAGTAATCTTCCACAACCTCATCCACCACACAGCTACAAGGAAACCAAAACAGCGCTAAAACAGTCTTTCAAGCGGGAGTGGAGAAAGCAGAATGGAGATTACAGACCAGAGAGTGACAGCATAAACAAACTCAACAGGAAAGAACAAACATCAATTTTTAGACTTCGGACTGGACACTGTGGTCTTCGAGCACACCTATACAGGATAGGCATAAAAGAATCCGCTGCCTGTGATTGTGGAACAGAAAGACAAACCCCTGAGCACATACTGCAGTACTGCCCTTACCTCTCCCAGCAAAGACTGTGGATCTGGCACAACCGAGCCACATTGAAAAAGAAGCTATGGGGGACCGGTGGCAACCTTAAACGCACAATCCTATTTTTGACCCAGACGGGACGCAATGTTTAGCATGACTGATGTCAAATGCAGAAGAATTCCAAAAAAATAGAATGCCTGTGACATAGGTTGCAGCACTCCTTGTGTGTGTGGGGGGGGGGGGAGGAGGGGGGGGGGGGTTAGGACCAGTTATCCATGTTTTTGGAGTGTTAAAAGCACTGGCGTGCTGAAATATACATCACGCGATATCAACGGTATCGTGGAACACCCCCGTAACCGTGTGAGAAGGCCATTTGGCTGAGGAACTACCAACTAGAAGTGGGCTAGTGTGTATATGGACTGACTATGGGGAGACTAACGTTACTTTTAGCTTTTCCTCCTTATCGAGGTTTTGTTATTTAATTTAACCGCTTTTTATTCAACATGCCAGTTAGGAGGCAATGGATCTATCTGACCTCCCCTCCCACAACCCAAATCCGCAAAGTGGGCCACGGGAACCCATACGGAAAACATAATTTGATTATCAAAGTGATTAAGAAAAGAACTCATAAAAAATATTAAACCTAAATATCTGAACTCCTTATATCTGTTAGGTGGACTTTCAAGGAACTCCGCATGAAATCTTGGAGTGCCCGAGATTGGGTGAGAACAAAATCAAAAGTACCGGTTTCTCTCCTTTCCTCAGTCAATTTGGCTGTCATTTAAGAACCGTTTGTGATTCCCTGTCCGCTTGTATTAATGTTGTGCCCAGTATACAATGTTTAGTTAAAAAAAAGTTTAAAAAATTGAACAAAGTGAAGGTCTCTTTCTACGCCTGTAGGCGTATCGGGCATATGGGAAGAGCGCCAACATTTTACAGACCAATCGGCACTAGGTGGGTAATGTGGTCAGCATTACGCCGGCCAATTCTAATTCCCCAGGACAGCCATCTTGGTACCCATTTTAGGCTGGGTCTACCTGCGACGCCCCATCCCACGATAAAAATCCACGCAGCCCGCAGTCAATGGTTTGTTTGTCGTCAGATTGTCCTCATTGCAAATCGAACCATTCCGTGCATAAGGTCTCAGATCCCTTTAGTAAATCCGGCTGCTGTTAAAGACATCAGTTCTCTGCTGATTTCTTAGTCTTCTTTGGCTTCTTGCATAGTGCTCTTGTCTGGCCACATCCCTTTTAACTTGCTGTTTCTTTTTTCCAGTCGGGGAGCGGGTTCGAATCCCTCGTAAGGCTGGGATTCTTTTTGTCGAGGGGCTAAAATAAAACCCTCATCTGCACAGTCGTGGCGACGGCGCTAGCCATGCTCAGCTCAAGACCTCTCCCACCCCCCCCCCCCCCCGTCTAAACCGCAAAAGTTGTGTAATAAAATAATTGGTAAAGTTTTTTTTTTTTTTTAGTCTGGAGATGGTAGCAGTTTCACAATAATCACTTCGCTCTCGCAACGTCTCACGTTGCGTAAAGCATTCGGTATATCAGAAAGGTCCATGGCACGTCCGCCCGCCACGGTAGCTTTACCTGCAAGCCTATACGATTGTTCTTATCGTTGCACGTCTGCATAGCCTGGCAAGAAAATAGAACTGGATTTTTGTCAATCCCGACCACCTCAGAGAATCATCCCCTGTCTTCGGACCAGGAATCGTTAACAGAAATTCCGCTGAGCTGGGAATCGAAACAGTTTTCTAAACGATATCTGCTAACGCGGGGACAACAATGAATCATCCCTGCTGGGACCAAAATGTTGTTTATGTTTGCTGATTGTTCTTCTTCAGCTTGTTGGTGTTAAACACACGTTGCTGTCTGACCATCCGCATTTATCTAAACTGTTGATAGACACAGTTGCAGTGTTCATCAATTTTAGAAGACGTTTGTTTTCTAATTCATTTAGCTTTCTTTGCAAGTCTTAAGTGGTTCTTTATGCTGGTGTGTTGGGAAATGTGCAGGCTCAGCACCACTTGGTGGTGAATTGATTTATGACGAGCTGGATATGGTGAGGGCCCTTTGGGAACAAGTAAACAGTGTGGAGGCGCAGAAAGATCATTACGGTCACAGGAGAATGGCCCTGCGAGGAGTTACCAGGGGATTTGGCTGACGCCCAAAACTCAGGGGAAAAGCGGGACGGATATACAATCAGACAGTTACTAGTGCCATCGGAATTGGAACTCTTCGCTTGATGCTGAAGTTGGGGACGAAGCACTTATGGTAGTGTCCCGAATGCAGTGATGTCGATTCCTAATTCAACATAGTGTTCAACAGTGTGTCTTTGGGTGTTAATTTCTTGTGTGATGTCCTGGTGGGGTAAAAGAGATAGATAGATAGAGATAGAGATAGATAGATAGATAGATAGATAGATAGATAGATAGATAGATAGATAGATAGATAGATAGATAGATAGATAGATAGATAGATAGATAGATAGATAGATAGATAGATAGATAGATAGATAGATAGATAGATAGATAGATAGATAGATAGATAGATAGATAGATAGATAGATAGATAGATAGATAGAGATAGATAGATAGATAGATAGATAGATAGATAGATAGATAGATAGATAGATAGATAGATAGATAGATAGATAGATAGATAGATAGATAGATAGATAGATAGATAGATAGATAGATAGATAGATAGATAGATAGATAGATAGATAGATAGATAGATAGATAGATAGATAGATAGATAGATAGATAGATAGATAGATAGATAGATAGATAGAGATAGATAGATATAGATAGATAGATAGATAGATAGATAGATAGATAGATAGATAGATAGATAGATAGATAGATAGATAGATAGATAGATAGATAGATAGATAGATAGATAGATAGATAGATAGATAGATAGATAGATAGATAGATAGATAGATAGATAGATAGATAGATAGATAGATAGATAGATAGTCGATAGATAGATAGATAGATAGATAGATAGATAGATAGATAGATAGATAGATAGATAGATAGATAGATAGATAGATAGATATAGATAGATAGATAGATAGATAGAAGCACCATTTACTAACCCTCACTGCCAAACGTTACAATTGCAAAAACAAAAGAACCTTACTGATCTGCCTTAAACTCCTAGGGAGCCTCCGTGGTATAGCGGCTAGACGCCCTCCTACGGATAGAAGGATAGTTCAGGTCCTGACGAAACTGGACTTCTTTTTCTTTTCTTTCTCAAGTAAACGACACTGGCTGCCTGGTCGACTCCGTCTTGAGTGGGTACTATGTAAAGTCCTCTCAAGTAAACGACAATGGCTGCCTGGTCGACTCCGTCTTGAGTGGGTACTATGTAAAGTCCTCTCAAGTAAACGACAATGGCTGTCTGGTCGACTCCGTCTTGAGTGGGTACTATGTAAAGTCCTCTCAAGTAAACGACACTGGCTGCCTGGTCGTTGCAGAACCAAACCCCAGCATTGGCTATTGTGGTTTTCCTAGGCAAATTTACGTCTAGTAGTTTGCCATTGCTTGCTAGAAGGTCGGCTTCTCGATACCACTATCGAAACCAACGCAAGGTGAAAGGCCCGCAGCTGGGATCGAACCCGGCATTCCGGCATTGCGAAGCGCGTTCACAACGCCTAAGCCACAGATGCCGACCTCTCCGGAATGGCTTGTGTTTGTTTTGATAGCACTGCGTTTTCAGTCCTGACTGCATTAATCTAGACTTGTATGACTGCCCATGTCTCTCGAGTACTCCAGTTGTCATTCATTTTTCCTACAACATTTTATCAAACACAATTGCAATTAAACAATTGCATTCATAAATATTCTAATAAGGCAGTAACAAAAATCTCCACTCAGAAAGACCTCAGTGGATCAAAGTAACCGACACTTACAGATACGAATCTGTCTTGCTTTGTCATTTCCCTTCAGAGTCAAGCTGAAAGGGGTATTTCTTCATTCCTCCGCAACTGCTTTACATAGAGCACGACAAGCTTCAGCTGACAGGTCATGCTGCTGACGTTAACGCAGCGGTTTTTCAAACTTGGTGCCGAGACGTATGACTGAGGTGTCGCCATAATAATCAAGAAAAGTCGGCTAAAAATTGTGAAATTATACAAGAAAACATGTAGATACTTAAAAGTTACAATTTAAGTTGTTAAGTTGTCTTCCCTCGCCATTGTTAAAAAAAAAATATTTCTGGTTTAAGGACCGCTGTGTTAACGCATAGTCAGCCCGCCTCGGTGACGTCAGTAGCACCGTTCGTCAGATAGTGCTGGTCGTGCAAAGAATGTCTTAAACGCTAATCGATAATTATCTTTCACCGCCTCAGAAAATGTTTACAAAAATAAAAGCAAATTAATGGAAATAGTTAAAAGGGCGTTTACATAAAGAATAACTATTGGGTCCTAAATATTGAGTCCCAACCCCCGTAGGAGTCACCGGAGTGTAGCGGCTAAACGCTCGCCTGCTGATCGAAACGCTGTGGGTTCGTGTCCTGAGGGAACCATACTTTTTGTCCTTCCTAAAATAACCTTGACTCGCAGGGCGACCCAGCCTCGAGTGGGTCCCAGGTGCAGTCCTAGGAAGTAACGGTGGCCGGCATGATGCTGACATCATCAGCCCCAGCAAATGCTGATTGGTCTTTAAAACTACAGGTCTAACCCTTTGTGTAGAATAGGCCTAAAGGCGGGGAAACGGGTTCTTGACTTTTACTTACTTACACCCCCACCCCCGGTCCTACACCCAACAGTCCTAAAGGGACAGTAGACCTTGTAACTATATATAAATGCCATAAATAGTATAAACTATATATATATATATATTTGTGTGTGTGTGTATACACACATACATACATATAAGGTTTGCCATAATTCCTCAATTCTCAATTTTTAGGAAGCATCCTTACTTCACGAGTGTATATGGGCCTCCGCAGAATATCGAACGAATGGTAACCCCCTCCCCCCCCCCCCCCCCCCAAAAAAAAATGAAATATATATATATATATGAAGTTATGAGCTCTTTCTATTTGGAAAAATGGTGCTGAAACGCCTTTATAAAAGAAGAAACCAAAAATTTCTTCCAGTTTTGGTGACGGGTAAAGGAGAGAGAGACGAGAGAAGAGACTTAACCCCCCCCCCCCCCCCCCCCCCCCACCCCCTCACCCCATAAAAAAGGGAAAAAAATACATAGAAGAAAAAAGGAAAACCCATAGAAGAAAAGGGAAAAATCCCATAGCAGAAAAGGGAAAAACCCATAGAAGAAAAGGGGGAAAAGCCATAGAAAAAAAAAGTGAAAAAAACCTTTGCAGAAAAGGAGAAAAATCCATAGAAAAAAAGGAAAAGAGCAGCTACATTGAGAAGACAATAAGAAGTTGAACTCCTTTTCTAATTTGGGAGAAATGGGAGTGGGGGTGGGAAAAAAAAGGGGGGGGGGGGTATAGTATTAACTTTACAAAACCTTAACATTTAAAGTAAATAAAACCGAACGTCAAACATTATGATACGAAAAAATGTTTGAATGTTAAATTAAGAATCGACATCACCGTTCTCAGGACACCCCTATGAGCGCTCCGTCCCAGCTTCCCCTTGTTGATAGTACCTGTGAAATCTTGTCATCCCTTTGTTGGATGTAATTTTTCCTTATTTGAAGCCCTACTTTGGCTCTTGCCAGGGGCCGCATTATAGCCCGGTCATAAATATGTGCTGAACGCGGTTTCTGGGACCTCTCCACAGGTGATCCTCATCCACATAGTGGCACTTTCTGTCTTTGGGTGTTTATCGCTTGTGTGATGTCCTGGTGGGGTAAAAGAAGATAGATAGATAGATTCCCCTTGTAACTCCTCGAAGTACCATTTTCCTTAAACCGTAATGATCTATCTGTGCCTAGGCACTGTTCACTCGCTCCCAAAGGGCCCTTAAATGATCCAGCTTGTCATACATACGTTCACCACCAAGTGGTGCAGAACCAGCCAGTCTATATGCCTGCTTATTTCTCAACACACCAGCATTACCTGAAGACAATATCCGAAGGATGCTTACTACCCAGGACATGTAAAGTGATGCTTGCCACTCTGCACGGAGCGTGCCTGTCTCCACCTTTCTCAACATGCTCTGAGTCAGTTACAATGACTGCATGATACAAAAGACAGTGTCGCAGGCACAGCGTTATATCAAAGATACATCGGCTATGGAAGTCTCTGAGGCCTTGACTTACCTCATTCTGTGACACACAAAATCACCACCTTCAGCCAGCATCATCGAAGGGGGAGTTTTGGTTATAATTGTGACTTATGTTTTTTGCGCCATGTGAAATGGCTTTGCTCTCCACCAAGTAGCCCTGAAAAGGACTCCTGCGGTGTTGATGCGATCAGATGAGACAGACCCTGGTAGTGTCCCTCCCGACCACGAAGTGGTCTACCGGCCAGCCGATGTGTCTTTAGGGCGTGAAGGTTGGGATGGGAACCAAGTGATGAGAGCAAATTTCGTGAAGTACTTGCTACAAAAAGATGATGATGATGAATCGACACATTCACAAACTATGCCTAAGGAGGTCAATGGATGAAAAGAAAAAAAAAAATGAGAAGAAATACAGGCGATCTGTTAAGCTAATACTTCTGCAATTGTGCAAACATAATATGTGATGGCAGGGCCACAGTTAACCTCTGTACAGCTTGTGCAGCTACATACGACAACACCATTTTTGGGGCGACCACAACACCATTTTTGGGGCGACCACAACACCATTTTTGGGGCGACCACAACACCATTTTTGGGGCACAACACCATTTTTGATCACAACACCATTTTGGGGCACCACAACACCATTTTTGGGGCGATCACCACAACACCAAACACATTTTTGGGGCGACCACAACACCATTTTTGGGGCGACCACAACACCATTTTTGGGGCGACCACAACACCATTTTTGGGGCGATCACAACACCATTTTTGGGGCGACCACAACACCATTTTTGGGGCGACCACAACACCATTTTTGGGGCGATCACAACACCATTTTTGGGGCGACCACAACACCATTTTTGGGGCGACCACAACACCATTTTTGGGGCGACCACAACACCATTTTTGGGGCGACCACAACACCATTTTTGGGGCGATCACAACACCATTTTTGGGGCGACCACAACACCATTTTGGGGGCGACCACAAAACACCATTTTTGGGGCACCAAACACCATTTTTGGGGCATCACAAAATTTTTGGGGCGCCCACATTTGGGGCGACCACTTTTTTTTTTGTTTTTGGGGCGAAAAAAAAAACAACACCATTTTGACTCGAGGGGTCATTTTGACTGCAGGGTTTTATTTTTGGGGCGATCATTTTGACCAAACCATTTTTTGTGTTTTGGGGCGTATTTTTGGGGCTCTTTTTCAGAGCTCTACCTGCAAAATGACATTTCTGCAGGGTTTTTATCATGGTCTTTGTTGCGTATTCTGGCTCTTTTAGAGCTCTAACCTGCACATTTCTTTTATCTGGTTTGTATTTGGTTAAATTTAAATACTTTAATCGATTTTTGAACAGAATTGCATAATTCCCCAACCTGCGGTTAGTATGTAAACGAATAACGGTGCTAAAATTTAGCCAAGGGAAAATAACTTTAAATAAATCACCGCACGGGTGCTTCAAATATTATAAACACCACCTGTTGTAGGCCTGCCCGCTAAAATTACAGTCAAATTTATAACTAAAGCTTCAAAGGAAGCAGTTGAATGTTGTTTAAAAAAAAAAATGTAATTGAAACTGGCATCTTGTTTGTATGATCAAGAAAGTCGTAGTTCTTGCAGCACGAATCAAACCCAAGAGATGAACAAACAAGCCTAAGATGCCTTCACAAACGGACGACCCCATTAGACGCCATCAGTAAACGCACGCATACAGCCCCAACCTATTTCACAATAGGCATCATTAACTCCATTATTAACTACGGTTGACTGATATGGTCAGCAACAATTCTTTTTTTCTGAAAACAATGATCAATACAAATGGCGGGGGAAATTTATTGGCGACTTCCGGAGTCGTTCTTTTGTGAAATGTGCGAATTTACATCTAGACTCAGGGATTCTCAAATTATTGTTTTATAATTGGTTAATTGATTATCCATTTGCTGTACCTTATATAGGTCTCACAAGGCACACAGTCGACTTCCCTATTCTGCTCTGCCATGACCAGTCTTTTCTATTTCCTTGGATTGAATGCAGTCAAAATCCAGGACCATGCCGTGATGATACAGAGATGCGTAGTTAGGGCGGCATAAGCAGCGAAACCAAAATAGTTTTATACAGTATTTGATTTGATTGAGCGAAGCTATTGGATGGCGGCAGTTCGAAGACATGCATGATACTGAGAAAATCTACCTCACGGGACAATCGAAGACGTGCATGAAACTGAGAAAATCTACCTCAGAGACTGTCGAAGACATTTCGCCTTTCTCATCAACATTCCTTTTTAAGGTTTACCTCGGGTCATTATCGTTACCTCATCTGACTCTCTCCCACCTCTTCCATTCTCCAGCCTCCATATGTCAGAATGTGCCCAACATGACAGACATCTTCACTGTTCTACAAGAGACGATCAAAAAGTAATGTATCGTAATTTGTAACACACACAAGCTTTCTTATTACGATTGCCAGCCCAAATACACAGTGGTTGATCTTTCATTCATGCTTGCTCACATGTCACAGGGACTAGTCTATGTCACAGGGTTGTCACATCGTCTTGTCTCTGTTAGCGGCGATGTCGCTTGTTCTACACAACACGACGACACAGCTTTAAACGACCCCAGAACATATAGAAATGGCTCTAACCCCAACCCTTCCCAAACCCCCCCCCTCCCCCACCCTTTTCCATAGCCCACAGACTTAGCCTAGATCCCACTAGAGAGTCAAAAGAATTTCTCATGGTTTCAGAATTGTTAAGATTTTCCGCTGCGTCATAAAAACCGATCTTGCTGCAGAAAATCAAAGTACCTCTCCTTGTCGCTCGTCAAGCAGCCAGCTGAATTAAATTCATGTCGTATTGGAACTCCGTAATATACGCAAGGCTGGTCGACGTACTTTAGTTTTTTTTTCTCTCTCATCACATGACCAAAGATTGTAGATTTTCTGACAACTTATTAGTTCCATCAAAATCTCGAAATTTACACACGCTAAGACGTAGCCCTCAAGACTTAAAAACAAAAATATGATACAGAAAAAAGAAAATAATCGTGACAAGCACAGATTTTGTTTTCTCCACAAATATGAACATTGTCACATAAGAACTCAAATGTTCCAAGCACAATTATCAGTTCACTGAAATGTGGCGTCCGGCAGATCTTCTGCTCGAATGAGGTTTTCAGGCAATGATTAATGAAATGGATAGGAAGATATAATTTTTAGACCATAGCTGAAAAAAACCATTAACAGAAGATTTAAAAAAAAAAGAAAAGAAAGTGATAAGACATTGTTATAAAAGATCACTGATCAAAACACTTTTCTTTATCTTTTTCTTCGCTAATTCCTGTTTTCTGCTGAGATATTGATGTCCCCATGTGGGCTCTGGGACCCCAGTGTGGGGGAAAACAAGAACAGACCCACTGCCTTGCCTAAAGAATGTCGTAAGAGTAGAATATTTTGAGGCTTTCTTCGAAGGCGGAATACGTCTACCTGAAAGGCAAGGAACCAACAATCTGCATACAATTAAGTCAGATCTGTTAAACGGATATAAAAGCAAAACTCAGGTTCTGGAACAAGATTAAAGTCCAGATGTTGACAAACAACCAGCATTTTCCGCCTGAGTTTACAGCCTGTGAACTCGAAGAAAAGGAAAAAGATGTCGAGGAAGGCATCAGGTTCCAAAAGATCTTGTTTTGCTGGTCGCCTTAGGAATAGACACATTTTACTGCAGCGGAATCTCTCCGATGACAAAACCATTTTTAAAGTAACAATCCATGGCATGGTACCAGGAAGGAGGGGTAGGGGCCTACCAGCACGAAGATGGGCACATGATATAAGTATATCCTTAAATATCAAAGTCCATGAGGCGGGAGAACTGGCGAGAGACCGAGTTTCTTTCAAGCAAACCGTGATAAGAGCGACGTTCGTCATAGAACCGGCTACATGATGGTGATGAAAGTGACACTAAACAATATACGATTTTAGCTTCAGAAAGTCATTTGGTCTGTGACGCGAGACTCAAAGTCTTTCTTTGTCAGTTGAGACGAGAAAGAAAATTCTCAAAAGCTATATAAATCCTATATTGATAAACGGGTGTGAATCACGGACAGTTAGTCAATTAGTGAACTGCGGAGATGTGGTTTTGTAGACGATTGATCAGAATACCCTGGACAGATAAAAAGAGTAATGATAATGTTTTGAAAGAAACTGACTCACACAGAGAACTGATTGCCCACATCAGAAAGAGACAATCTACATTATTTGGTTATGCGGATGAGAAGGAGAAAAATGGAGTACATCGTGACGACAGGAAAGTTGAAGGGGAGGAGAGGCAGAGGGAGACTGAGAGAACAGATGCTGGACAGTTTGACATCATGGCAGGGAAGATCATCTGTATCAGAGTTGATTGTAAATACACGAGAAAGAAGGTAAACAAGATAAACAAGACTGCCAACGCCACACGGCATGAGAAGAAGAATTAAATACCATGAAATGAGAGGAAGTGCGTTGAAAGCTAAAGCTGAAAAAAAAAAAAACTGGAACAAAATAAATAAACAAGACACACAGTTCTTGATCAACTCTCTTGGTTTTATTCTTTACACATGCGGCAGTTTCAGAATTTGTCTGTATGTTTGTGATTGTTGATTGCGCTTGCTGAACTGGTGCTCACACGCCATGACACAGTCTTGGTATCGTCCTATGATACGTAGCAGGGAAGACCGGAGTAATCGAACCACATCGTCGTCTGAGTCCGATTCTTGAACAAGGGACAGCAGGAATTGTTCGAACGAAATCCCTGTAAAGACAGGAGAAAGTAGACTTGTATAAATTGCTGATAAGTACATATACAAATATCTTGCAAAATATTATTTTAAAGCAAATTTATGCAAGCAAATGCACCTCACTGGCTTAGAGGTTAAGGTTATTTTTTTTTAGTTCACACTATTTTGGAGTCTCCAAGATTTCTCCTAGTGAGGTCTGTTGGGGAGAGGACCAGTATGCACAAAACATAAACCACGCACGTATATATATATATATATATATATATATATATATATATATATATATATATATATATATATATATATATTGGGGCCGCGACAGAGCAGTCGATAGGAGACTCGCTTTCAAATCCAGCTGGAAATCTCTGCAGCCCACGGTCGGTGTTCGAAACCGGGCGGTTCCCGAGGTTCACCCAGCCTCTAGGTAATGGGTACCAGAGTTAACACTCTGAGATAAATGGAGGAACGTCGCTGTAGCTACGGAGTTGCCTGGGGACGGTGACACAGACCGACAGTTTTTTATCAGCTGTCCGTACTGGTGATAGAACACTTATGGTTTATAACCGTGTGCAATGACGCTGGTTCACCTCTCCCGACTTTACCTTCTTATATATAGACATCGTGTACAATTACATACACACACAAACATATATGTATAATAGCAGAAGGCATGGTACCAGGATATATATATATATATACACACACAAACACATAACATTCGTGTCTGCAGGCCCGTGTGTGAATGCACACATACGCGTTTGCATACACACACACATTGATATATACACACAGTAGACAGTCTGTGGTTTCGCTTATGAGAAGGACCAGTATGCACAAAACTGAAGGAGCTGCCTAGAGAATACTGCTGACAAAATTGATGGAGAAAGTATGAAAGGGAAGGCAGAGAGGCAAGTACCTGAATGGTGTGACCATTTTAAATGGCGCGCCAAAAGAACATTGACCTGATCCGGGATTCTGGTGATCATGTGACATGGCGAAACATAACTGCACTTTTTTCGGCGAAGAACAAGGATGATGACATGATATATATATATATATATATATATACATCTATAATAGGCGATTATATATATAAGTATATATAGATATATACGTAAACTCTAAAAGCGATTATACAAAAACTGCTATTCTTCTTCTTCTTCTTTTGCCTTTCTATCCCCAAATTGGAGCATAGGCCCTAAACCAACTTACGCCAAGTCGATCTATCCTTCGCCATTGCATGGAGATCTCCCCATGTCCTCCCCATCTTTCTAGCTTCATTCTCCAGCTCTCTTCTCTATGTGTTTTTTGGCCTTCCTTTATTCATATGCCCCTGTGGGTTCCAATGCAAAGACATTCTGGTTATGCTGTTCTCTTGTTTTCTCAGCGCCAGCGTCTTTTCCTCACCTCTTGTTCCACTGGAGCCTGTTTAGTTCTCTCCCAAAGCTCTACATCAGTTATTTTATCACACCATTTAATTCCCTCTATTCTGCGCAGGCACCAGTTAATGAATGTCTGTAATGTATTAGTAATTGCCGTAGTTTTTCTCCATTTTTTCGCCACATACAAAAGTACTGATTTGACATTAGAATAAAAAAACATTAGTTTAGTATTTCTTTTAATTTCTCTTGACCTCCACAAATTCCCTAGTGCTATGAAAGCTCCTCTTGCCATTTGTATTCTTATTTTAATATCTCTATCAGTTCCTCCATCTTTATCTACATTACTGCCCCTTAATGGCTTTTATTACCACTAGTGTGGTGTACGCAGGGGTCTTTCAGCCTGAGGATTTACGGCCGCATGGCTAATGTTGTCGCCACGGTTGTGCAGGTGAGTATTTTGTGTGCCCCAGCCTTACCGAGGATTCGAAACCGGGTCTCTCGCTTGAGAGCCAAGTGTTCCAACCTTTGGTCCAACCGCTCCTCGGCGATTAATTAGTTGGCTGAAATCTCATGTAATGGGCCGAAAAGCTCAGATATCGCAGCCTAGTGGTTAGTAACAGTACAAAGTGCCAACAGCTCTTGTAAGTGCAATATATATATACACACACACAAACACATACACAGTGAACGGTGTATCGAGGAAACACGTTCTCAGTCAGACTGAATCCATCTCTGATAGTCCTAAGGTAACCCACATAAACTTCACCCTACAACAAACCATCAATTAGTAAAACGTGATTTACTTATTTGTTCACACTTGTAGTAAATCCATGTCTTCTTTTAATGTATCAATCAAAGTCGGCGTCTGTGGCTTTGGCGTTAAGAACGCGCTTCGTAATGCGGGATATATGGGGGGAGGGGGTGTGGTCGGGTTCGATCCCAGCTGCAGGCCTTGCGATAGTTTCCACAGTGGTACCGAGAGCTGACAGTTCGGCAATAGCACTCCAGGTTTTCTTTAAATCAGGCATTATCACAGTGGACCTTTATTGGTGAATAAAGTTCTATAGGTGTCTCCCTTAAGTGATAAAAGCAAGCGGATAACAAAACGCGGTTCCTCTCTGGTGCATGTCAAAAGTGGGGTGGCAATTTTCAAAACTGTCAATGCGGCGTCACCGTGTTCGTCTCCACCGTGATATATATTACTCTTTACATCCTTAACAACACTATTAACTAGTCATAAGACATTGAATGGTTATTGAAATTTCCGTATCCCCCTTGGAGGTTTTATTTTATTTTTTTCTTTCTCTTGACATTCACTAGCTGATAACTCCAAGGGGAAGATCTGGATGTTCGTAACCTTCTGGACTTAGGTCTCGTGCCAAAACTTCAGCTTTGTGTGCATATTCGTTTCGAAAATCTGGCTTATTTGTATGCAGACTGTTTGTCCATTGTCTCTCAGGCAGATGCACTCCGATTTCGAAGAAAACACCTCTAACTAGTTGATTTTTACGACATGCTTGTTTTGGGGATTGGGGGCGTGGTGGTAGTGGCTCTATTCTCTGCCCGCAAGTAGGTCAGAAAGCTTCACGAAACACAAAGGGAAAGTGAACACGGGGGCTACAGAACCTTCATGGACGTGGTTGTTGTGGGGATGGTAGGGAAGTGAAGGGATATGTCTCTTGTGGCGATGTCTAGGCATGGAAGTGACGGCCTCGGTACCACTATGATCGAGGTAAGGCAGAAGATGACATGTGTTTAGGGTAACCAGGAAGCCGTAAGAATTCCAGCATTTCCAGACAACCGGACTCCGGATCTCTCACGGAAAGGTTTTCTTTAGAAGCTTAACGTCCCAAAACTTGGGACCGACAGAGCAGTCTCAAATCTTTGTAAACCCTTTTATACAGTTTCTTATGTTGTGTCGACTCCCCAACCGCACAATTACTTACGTTTCTACGACGGTTTGGAAAAAAATGTAGCAGAAGGCATGGCACCATGAAGGAGGGGCAGGGGCCGACCGACACGAAGATTGGCACAGGATATAAGTGACTCATTGAGTGTGAAAGTTCATGAGGCGGGAGAACTGGGGAGAGACCGAGTTTCTTTCAGTCAGACTGTGATATGAAGCGATGTTCTGCAAAGGACCTGCTACATGATGACTTCATTAAAAGAGTCGCGACCAATGTTGAGAAACTCTGCTCTAACTAATGAGTAACCAGGGCTCAAACATTTATTGATGTAATTTCGAATTCTTTAGAGCAGTGGTTCTCAAACTGCTCGTGTTCGAAACTGGGCGGTTTCAGGGGTTCACCCAGCCTCTAGGAAATCGGTACCAGAGTTGACACTCTGGGATAAATGGAGGAATGTCGCTGTAACTACAGAGTTACGCGCGAACGGCGACACAGGCGGACAATTCTTATTAGCTGTCAGTACTGGTGGCAGAGCACGTATGGTTTATAACCGTGTGCAATGACGCTGGTTCACATCTCCCGACTTTACCTTTCTTTTTTCTTTCTCAAACTGTTTTTGCCGCGGCACCCTTGCCAGACTAAACACAATTTCGCGGCACATCTACCCGTGAAGAGGTAAAAACAGTGCACATGTCATAACCAGTTGTCTTTAGTGCGATGAATGAAACTGTTTGAATGAATAGTAAGGATATGTTGAGAATGCTGCGTCTGTGACTAAGGCGTTGCGAGTCCGACTCGTAATTCCAACATACCGCGATCGAAACCCACTGCTGGCTGCGTTGATTCTTACCATGGTATGGGGCGTCGCAAGTCCACCAAGCCTAAAATGGATACCAGGATGACTGTCCTGAGAAAGTAAAGACGGCCGGCGTAATGCTGACCACATTACCCACCCAGTGTCGATTGGTCTGTAAAAATATGAGCGCTCTTCCCATATACCTGATGCGCCTAAGGCATGAAAAGGGATCTTTACTTTACTTATATGTTGAGAATGAGAGCCGCAGAACCCAACGATGCCACGATCGTATGTCATGGGTAAAGTGGCAAGGTGAGTAAAGGGCCCTTTTCCAGCGTGATCAACGGCATTGTTTTCTGAATACACCTGGATTCAGAACGTTTCTAGGCTTCCTTCACTGTATTTTTGTTTTATTTTAATAGCAGATTTGGGGAAATTCTTGATTATTGCCTCTTCACCCATGACATACGATCGTGGCATCGCTGGGTTCTGCGGCTCCCATTTTTAGAATCGCTGCGTTAGAGGACGGTGGAAACTAACCCCTAGCATTTTCTGGCTATTTGTGGGTTTACTTGACAATTTAACGTTCAGTATTGCGTCAATGCCGCTGAATGTTCAGCGCTAGAAATCAACGTCAAGAGGGGGGAGGGAAAAGGGGGGGGGGGGGGGGGGGGGAAGGGGGGGGGGGAGGGGGAGGGGGGGGGGGGGGGGGGGGGGGGGGGGGGGGGGGGGGGGGGGGGGGGGGGGGGGGGGAGGGGGGGGGGGGGGGGGGGGGGGGGGGGGGGGGGGGGGGGGTGGTCTGTTGTCATATCGCTAGCAGCTGAATAGAACTAGACATCACTGAATTACAACCCGCGTTCTGTGGCGCATTGTGAGTCGAAGAAGAACTGGGGTGTGCACGTTTCTAACCACATTAAAACGTAGTAATTGTAATAAACCCAGGGAAAATATGCGCTATTTCTACAATACTTTTATGGTCAATGGAGACATGTAATCATTACAAGTAAGTAAAGGGCCCTTTTCCACGCCTTTAGGTGTATTGAGCCTGAAAGTTCTAGACCTGTATTTGATAGACCAATCGGCACTTAATGGGTAATGTGGTCAGCATCATGCTTTTATTTCCCTTCTATTTCCAGCTGGTAATACCAAATGTTAGTAGTTTGTCTGGACATGACTTCATCATCTTCTTGGTCTGCCTCGTGGTCTACGACCATTTAGCTCCTTTGTGTATATAGATTTTACCTCTCTCTCAAATTTGCGCTAGCCATTTCAGTCTTTTTGCTGTGTTTCAAGTTTCAGAGCCACATAGAACAACTGGTCTTATCAACGTTTTAGATATTTTGATCTTGGTGTTGCTAGACAGAGACTTTGACTTAAGCAGATGTTGAAGGGCATAGTACACTTTATTTTCCTGATTGTATTCTAGATTTTATATCTTTTCTCGGCATCTTGGACCAACTGAAGTTTGCACCTAAATACATATATGTTTCCGTTCGTTTGATTTTCATATTATTGACTTGTATGTTGCCAGAGTTCATGACCTTTCCCTGTCTTGTTATTATCACATATTCCTTCCAGTAATTGTATTTTATATTTTGCTGTTGCTGATAAAGTTCACTGTTATCTGATGTATAAATGAAATGATGCATCATGAGAGGTTACTAGGAGGATGTAATGCTAAGACGGGCCTGCGCGCCCAGTTCTTTACCCTTTGAAAATTGGGCTGCGTGGTCTCGAGTCGATCGCTAGAGGTTCCGGGTTTAATCCCCGGGAAGGGCTGGGATTTTTTTACGTGGACTTTGACTTTTAGTAATTCCCCCTGGTCTCTGGGTAGTGAGATCGGACGCTCGTGTGCATGGTTGCGCCCGTATAAAATCCTTTGGCAGTAGAAAATCGAAAAGACAAGCCTAACGGCGCTGCCCGGGTAAAATTTGGAGCCTGTGTACTGTACTGAGCCTCTTAGGACTCAGACTTGATTTAGAAGAATAAAAGAGCACTTATGGGTTACTACCCGTGTGCCATGATGTTGATCCGTTGTTCAAACCCTAAAACTCTAACCTTTAAAAATTAATGTAGTTCGTTCGTTCCCCAGTCTTTAGAAGCCGACTTCCTTATATAGCCGTTAAAGATTTTTTTTTAAAAAAGCATACTTTCAATAATGCAGCTAGTTACCTTTTTTTCTGTGTCAGAGTTTAATATTTACTGTTTAACTAAGGTCGACATTTAAGCACTCAGATAATTCCCATAAGCGCGCCGTCCGCATCTTCAGGGGTAAGCGAAGAGTTCTAATAGCGATGGTACCAGTGTTAGTCTGATTATTGATCGGTGTTTCCTTTTCCCCGAGTGTCAAGCATCGGCCACATCCCTTGGTAACTTCTTTTGTAGTGAGGGCTAGGAGAAAGCATCGGCCACATCCCTTGGTAACTTCTTTTGTAGTGAGGGCTAGGAGAAAGCCGGGTTGGGTATGGTGGTGGGAGAGGGGTCTTTTTCTGCTCAAAGTCCATGCCGTGTGGTGTAAGTAGTCATGTCTATCCACAACCTTCTGTCTCGTGTACTGCAAGTTAAGTCTGACACAGATTGCTCCTCCATGCCACGATACCAGACTGTCCAGCATCTTTTCTCTCGGTCTCCCTCTGCGTCTTCTCTCCTCCAACTACAGCCTGGGCGTTTAAGGCCCCCGTGGATAGTGCAGCCGCCATGCACTGTGCAGGTTAGGATTTAATTGTAGCCCTGACAAAGTGTGAAAGTCTACAATAGTTGCGAGGATTCGAAAAGGGGTCTTTCGAAGAAGAGCTCAGTGTACGTATACCCTTTCGCCAGCAGCTCCTCAGACCTGTACAACATCGTAATTTATTTCAGCATACCTGGATGGTTCGTGGCGTAGCGTCTTGACGTTCGCGTGCTGATCGGAAAGTAGTAGGTTCGCTCCCCGGCGGAGCCGGACGTTTTTCAAAAATGACTTTGCCTCCTAGGTCGACCCAGCTTTGAGTTGGTTCCAGGTGCAGTCCCGGGAATAAAAAAGAAGGCCAGTGTGATGCTACCCACATCACCCATCTTGTGCCGATTGGTCTACAAGAAAAAAAAATAGATCTAACCCTATAACCCTAATCTCCTATAGGGACCTTTTACAATACCTGGTTACTTACTTTGCTCTCCAATTCTTTTGAAGGATCTTGACCAGTAGGCCCTGAGTCTGTACAAAGATGGGATCGACTGCTCGCATCGTGTTTCGCATAAACTGAAGATCGGCCTTAACCCGAAGACGAGCAAGGTCACCACCATGAGGGTCGCCGATTGGTTCAATGAGGCCACGTGATCTGGCATTGTCTGAAACAGAAACGAAAATTAAAATAAATGTAAGAATTTTTTTGTTCTCTGTCATCATCACACGCATCGATTGTTGAAGAAGAACTAAGAATTGACATCATAGCATTCGGGACACTCCCATAAGAGCTCCGTTCCCACTTTTAGCAGCAAACAAAATATCCAATTTAAATGGTTCCCTTGAGCGTTGAGCAAAGGACATATCCCCCAACGTCTTGAAAAAGTATATCAAGATGGTTCCAGGTGTAGCCCCATGTTCTTCATTGTTTCGTCCTCGGTCCGCCGAAAATGTTTATCTAATCCTCTAGCGGAAACCAAACAAATGACTAGAATAAATAATACTGCATTGCTTTGTCTATCAGAAACAACACTTCAGAAACGTATAGTGGATATTCTAATCCATAAGCACCCGATGTAGCATCAGCTAAAAAATGCTATACTGTAACACTGTAAAACAACAACACAAATTATTATTAGGCACGTAAACGATGCTGGCTTTCTGAGTGTTCCAACACGGTCCATCCCCTCTCCTATTCGTGTGTGTGTGTGTGCGTGTGTGTGTGCGCGCACGTGTGTGTGTGTGTGTGTGTGTGTGTGTTTGTCGCTGCCCCAGATTGCCAAAATGGTAGACCAGTACTATATTTAATGATCGGTGTCCCCAGATTTCTTCTTTTTTAAATCGGAGGTGGGGTGTCAGACCATTCCTTAGAATGAACAAACTTCCGGTCAAAATGGACGCTAGTCGGGTGGCACTGTTTGGAGCCGAGGCAAATTTCTTGCTTCTTCCGGACGGTGGCCGATGCAGTTTGGCTCCATTTGTAGACTGGATATAGTTTCGTCGCCCAGCTTTTGAGTTGAATGCATGGCGTGACACTGAGCTGCGGGTTTCATTTGGAATGTTTTTTCGACTGTGACCAACGGGGTGGTGTGAATTGTAGATTCAGAAAATGGCGCGATGACTGTCGTCACAATGTTGGTGGTGCCCTTCTGTGATTAAAATTGATCGCATGGGCAACTGCTGATCTGTTGGTGACTTCTGCTACCATCAATGATGAACTACATTTCTAATATCGGACTGTTTGTGTTAGCACTTCTGATGGCTACCGTATGCTTTAATGCGAGTGTATTCTAGATATGCTGAAACAGCAGTCTGTCAATCTTTTCTGTGATAAACATTCTGTGTGTTTTTCGCTGGCACAGGAGAGGAACAAAGATGGGGTGACCCGTTTGCTATGAAGCTGAAACTAAGACTACCAGACTACCATACTCCTTAGAATATACCCCACCCACCCACCCCCGATTTTTGTGTGTGGCGAAAAACCTGTTTAGGAATTATGTCCCATTAACACATAAGACTGAAAACAGACAAACGAATAAAGAAAATATTGTAATTCTAGAAATATCTAAACATTATGCAGATTCTTTAAGTTTTAAAATATAATTTTGCGAAAATAAGAAAATGAAATAAGACCACAGTAATATAGTGTATATTTATATGACTGACGTTCAACGACACCCGGACATCACATCGAGCGATAAACACCCGGTGACACAAAGTACCACCATTCGGATGAGGATCACCCGGGGACAAGTCCCCTAAAAAAACCGTTCAACCCATCATCATCATCTCATAACACTGAGTGCCCTTGGGTCTTCAATTTCTGTTGACTGTCTGATCAGCTCTCTCCACGTTTGGCGGTCAGTTGCGATGGACTTCATAGTTGCATGCCAGAGGCCTGTCCAGTCAGTCAGGTTCTGTAACAAGGTCTTTCTGGGTCTGTCTCTTTCCCCTTTCCTTCTACTGAGCCCTGTTGTATTGGTTTTTAGAGGCTTTTAGATCGTATTATATGTAAATTATACAGACTATTGATGAACAGTGGGATATGTTGCGTGGGTCAATTCAGCAGACATCTAAAGAGAAAATCCCACCATCCCATAGAGTTGCAAAAAAAGAAACGGATGTCAACCGACATTCTGCAGTTGATGGATGAAAGAAGGAAGAAAAAGAATGATAAACAAGAATACTCTAGAATGCAAAAACAAATAGTGAACAAATGCAAAGTGGCTAAAGAAGCCTGGCTGAATCAAATGTGTACAGAGATTGGGGAAAATCACAGGAAAGACTCATATTCCATGTACCAACAGATACATATTTTAACAGAAAAGATGACACTTAACAGCACTGGATGTTTGAAATCAAAAGATGATGACTTATTAATGGGACATGGTAATATAATTAACAGATGGACAGAGTATATAGAGGAATCGTATGATGATAATAGACCAGATGTAGAACTGCAGACCAGCAATAATGGTCCACCAATAATGACTGCAGAATTTGAGGATGCAATACATCATATGAAGAAAGGAAAAGTAACAGGGCTAAACAACATCTCACTGGAAGAAATTGAAGCACTGGGAGATTTCGGAATTGAAATAATAACTAAACTTTTAAATAATATTTATAATAGTGGGTATATTCCAAATGGCCTTTTAAAATCCATATTTATAGCTCTGCCAAAGAAACCAAGCACTATAAAATGTGAAGACCATCGCACAATAAGTCCTATGAGTCACATGACTAAGATTTTACTGAGAATAATTATGAGAAGAATAGGAAACAAAATTATCCTTCTTAGACTATACAAAAGCATTTGACTGTGTGAAGCATGAAGAAGTAATCAAACTGTTAGAAAAATTGAACATTGATGGGAAAGATCTTCGAATAATACAGAATATGTGTTGGCAGCAAACAGCAGCTATTTTCGGCCATGTAATGAAAAGAGGGAAAATAGAACATGTTGTGACCACTGGAAAGATTTGTGGAAGGAGGGATAGAGGAAGACAACGAGAGAAGATGCTTGACAGTCTTGTTGCATGTCATGGAGGTGTGTCGGCACACGAACTGATACATGCTGCAGGAGATCGCAGATTATGGAGAGGCATGATCGCCCACACAAGTCGGCAAGGCACCTGTCCGAGAACATCCGGTAATACGTGCATCAGGAGAAAATCAACCCTGGTAGACTCCTGCTGTACATGCTCCCCTGTGGAGTTTCTTCTTATGGTGTAGCACGATTATGCCGTTTTCGAGACCGAGACAGGAGACAATATAACCTGCTTCTCATGGGAACAATGAGTAGAAGTACTTTGGAGTGGCTGCTGCATCAGAAACTGAACATGCATGGTAATCCCAATGTGCAGTGACGTTGATTAGGATAACATAACATGACATAGGTCTGTAAAACAACAAACAATTCGTCGAAAATGGGACGGAGGGTTAGGTTAAACATATTTTATCTATTTACCTCTTTTCTGACTTTCAGGTCTTGTTAAAAGCCATTGTGTTACATAAATTTGCTTATGAATTTTTCATATTTTCGTAAATATTTTAACTCTGATAACAGATTCGGTTTTGAAAAGCTAAAGTGAAGTTCTGTTTGTGAAAAGCTGTAACTTTATGACGCTACAAAAAAAAAAAAAAAAAAAAAATGTTGCAGAAGAAAGCCCGCTTGTTTTAGAATACTTCTCATTAGCACAGATGACGTCACCGCATAAAACTGAAAATGTTCCAGAGACAATTGACAATACACGAGATAGGAGGGCGTAGGCAGACAAGATGGTGAAGAAGAAAAAGAAGTAGCAGAAAGAAAGAGAAAGAAAGAAAGAAAGAAAGAAAGAAAGAAAAAAGAAAAGAAAGAAAGAAAGAAAGAAAGAAAGAAAAAAGAAAAGAAAGAAAGAAAGAAAGAAAGAAAGAAAGAAAGAAAAAGAAAGAAAGAAGAAAGAAAAAGAAAAAAAGAAAGAAAGAAAGAAAGAAAGAAAGAAAGAAAGAAAGAAAAGAAGAAAGAAAAAGAAAGAAAGAAAGAAAGAAAGAAGAGGAAGAAGGAGAAGAAGAAAAAGAAGAAAAAGAAGAAAAGAAGAAGAAGAAGAAGAAGAAGATGATGATGATGAGATGATGATGATGATGAAGATGATGCAGAAGATGATGAAGAAGAAGAAGAAGAAGAAGAAGAAGAAGAAGAAGAAGAAGAAGAAGAAGAAGAAGAAGAAGAAGAAGAAGAAGAAGAAGAAGAAGAAGAGGAAGAAGAATAAGAAAAGCGGCGAGGTGAAGAAAAACTGAAGAAGAGGAGGACTGAAAAGAATATGATAAAAGGGTAAAGGAGGAGAAATGGAGACAAAGAAGACAAAACAGAAGAAAGGCAATGCGAAGGAATAGGCGGTGGAGTAAGGAGAAGGAACAGAAAGCAAAAGAGGGTCAATAAAAGAAAAGATAAACGTTAAAAAAAAAGATAAAATTTAAAAAATAAAAAATAGCAAATTAAAAAAAACAAGCATTTATTATTTCTGAGCAGCCAATGACCCGGTGAAACAGACAACGGCTAATTGTTTGTCAGTGGCTGGGGAAAAAGTGGAAAAACGGGGTGATTTTTTTTTTTTGGGGGGGGGGGGGGGGGGGTTGGGGGAGGGAATATGTATGTATGTATGTAAGTTGTACCCCACCAGTACATCATCATCAGGTGCCTTGCCGACTGGCGTGGGCGATCATGCCTCTCCATAATCCACGATCTCCTGCAGCATGTATCAGTTCGTGTGCCGACACACCTCTATGCCATGCAACAAGACTGTCAAGAATCTTCTCTCGTTGTCTTCCAATATCCCTCCTAAGACAGATCTTTCCAGTGGTCACAACATCACACAAGCGATAAACACACCATGTGGATGATGATCACCTGCTGATTGGTCCCGGAAACCTCGTTAAGCCGTTAGTCCATTTTTCAGGTCCGGCTAAGTTTGGGAGACCTCGGCAAAAGCCAGGGTGGGGCTTCAAAATAACTTAAAAAAATTTCATCCCACAAGGGGATAATGGGGGTTGGGGGGGGGGGGGGGGGGGGGGGAAATACTTTCACAAACGACTGCAACAAAAGCCATGTGCAGAAACATTTTGAGAAAAAAAAAAAAAAAAAAACGGGTTAGAGTGGAAAAACACAACATCGCGACTA